AGCCAGTGCTTTCTTCGGAATGTGCAGGGTTTGGACAGCCCAGGACTGCTGAACAAACCTACGTTCCCAGAATACCCTCTGAGCCCCTCTTCAGCTGCCATCACAGTGGACTCTCATAGATGGGGCGTGTCCACGCTTCCACTGGACTCATGGGATTGGCCCTAAGATGCTCAGCAACTGTTTGATGAATGAGTGACTCAACGGATGAATGATAGGAACAGTCACAGGTAATATCGCCCTAAGTCCTTCACTCCCCACTCTTTGGGAATCACAATCCCTCATGCTTGTCTATATGTTATTTTCGGCACAGCGGTAACAGCAGCTACCTTCCCATTGGGCTCTGCCCAGTGACAAAAGGTCTCACACTGCTCCCCAGGCTGTAGGCACCGATACTGCAGACTCCCTGCCCCTGGAACCCCCGGGGCCCTCTGGTGAAGCAATACACGTCACTGTCTCCGTGTGTGCATCCCATGTCACTGCAGCCCTGAATTCTTACCATGACGCACATTGCCTTCCTGCAGTGCCAGCAAGGACGTGGGCTCAAGAAGGTGCCCAGCTGGACTCGAGGGTCATGACTGGCCCTTCCAGGAAGCATACACCCTGTCCCCAAGAGCCCAGTGCTCTGGACATCTGCCCCTTGCCACCCAGGCCTGATTTTTATCACGTGCTAAGCCTCACCCCTCCAATTGTTTATTTCATCTTTTTCTGTAAATATTGGTGTGTTCTGTTTAGGCCTTGCCCTAAAGAAATGTTTTGAATGAACACATGGGTTTGGTGCTCCTGGTTCACATTAAAAGCCACTTGTCCCCATGAGCCTGTCTCCTGACTGTGGCTGGGGTGCACTTTTCAAACTCTGCCTTCAGCCACAGGCCTCCCAAGGGCCCTGCAGAGGCCAGCCCAGCACAGACCCTGTCCCATTCCAGAGCTCCACCCCATGGCCCTCTGCTCGGGTGAGTTCTGCCCAGGTAGCCCCTCAGCACCCCACTAGCATTGTCCTGGCTACCCTACTATTCTGTGGGCTTTTCAAGGGTGGGAGTGCATCTCTTGCTGTATATGGGGCAGGAGTCCCAGACAGCCTAACTGCCATGGGTGCTGAGGGCTTCCAGGCCTGGTCAGGTGGTCCCAGAAGGCCCCCAGGGACCGTGTGAGTGGGGAGAGTTGCAGAGGCAGGGCGTGGGCACGCAGCGAGCTAGAAACTAGCCCTTCCCAAACTTCCCTGAGACCGGGCACCGTGTGCTCCTTTGCTGAATGAAGCAGCTGTGCTTTATTAAATTCACATTTGCTCTCCAGCTGCCTGCGTCCCTGGGAGCTCAGGGAAGGGGGTTCAGGAAGGCACAGGTAACGCAAGATATGGAGCCCCCGGGCATTGGCATTGGGTGCCTGGGTGTGTGGGAGCCTGATTTATTTTTTTAAAAACTCTTAAGATTAAACAATCCAGGCCATTCCTCAGCCTGATTTAGCCTGAGCTCAAAATAAGATCAGCTCATTACCAAAGAACATTTATTTGTCCCTAGCCTGAGAAGATGGTTATATTCTGGTCCTTTTTGGGAGAAGAACAATTTTTTTTTTTGAGGCAGGGTCTCACGACGTAGTTCAGGCTGACCTTCAACTTGTTATGTAGCCCAGACTGGCCTCAAACTCATGATGATCTTCCTGCCTCAGCCTCCCAAGTGCTGGCATTGCAAACATGCACCCCCACACCCTGCAAGAGCAACTTTTTAGGCAAATTATAACTGATTCATTTTGAAGGGTGACATTTTCACTTTGAAGACTGTCTGTGGAAATGTTGGCTCTCGGGGGGCATCTTCCTTTCGAACTTGACTGCACAGATGATAATCACGTCCTCCTAAGATGTCCCTCAGCACCTAGAGGCAAGTTAGCCATCGGTCCAGTGGTCCCAGATCTGCCCCGGGATGATTTTTTAGGTTCCTGTGACCTTAAATCACACAGAAATGTCCTTTCACTCATCGAAGAGAATAAAATATTTAAGTTTCTGTCTCATTCTTCTTTAGTTCTCTGTTCATCCATCCTTTCACCCAACAGTCATTCAACACACATCCATGCCAGGACCTGGGAGGCTGAGGCAGGAAGATTGCAAGTTTAAGTCTTACCCAAGTATAACTTAGTGAGATGTTGTCTCAAAATTAAAAAAATAAAAAGAGCTGGAGATATAGCTCACGCCAAAAGCCCTAAATTTTATCTCCAGTATCACACACACACGCACACACACACACACACACACACACACACACACACAAAGAATTTACGAAGATGAAGGTTCTAGCCTGAGCCTGGAGCCCTGGGATAGACCTTGAATGAATTCATTACATAGTCCGAGGCCTCTTGCCTTCAAGAAGCTTAACATCCACTGAACAAAGCTCATCCATCTGTAGTCCACACAACAGTAACAACAACAGCAGTCACTGTCATCCTGTGCCAGTCACCTGCTCGAACTGTCAGGCAGAATGCCACAGACTGGGTGGCGTGGGCAGCTGGGAAGTCTCCTCTCACTGGTGTGGAGGCTGTAAGTCTGAGAGCGAGGCTGGACGGTGGGGCCAGCTCCTGTCCCTGACTTGCGGACAGCTGCCATCTGGCTGCGTCCTCCCATAGCTGAAAGAGACTGGGTGTCTTTTTACAATACCCTCGTGAGGACCCCACCCTCAGCCCTGCCCTAAACAGACACTATCACCCTGGAGGCTTCAGCACAGGAATTTGGGGGACACCGTCGGATCCATAGCGGCTGTGACATCCTAGCTGGTGAAATGCTTCCTTACTAATCCTCACCACGGCCCCTCACTTGACAGAGAAGAAAGGGCAGCTTAGCGCACAGCTCTAGGACTTGAAGCCACCCTGCTGGAGATCGGCCAGCAGGCTGTGATCCCGCGGCTGGCTCAGTCCCTAGAAGCTTTGCCCACTTTGCTCCTGCCTCCCCAAACACCTCCTGCCTGGTGCCCCAGAAAACACAGCATCTGAGTGGACATGGGGCTGTTGCCCACGCTGGCTCTCTGTAGATGCTCATGAGCCTGACTGCTGACCCCCTTCCAGGCCCAGCGGGGCCCTTGCTGTGCAAAGCCACAGCCTGGCTGCAGCCTTGGGAGCAGAAAAGGTCTGCCTGAGAGTTAGAAAACAGGGGAGAGAAAGGAGACTGGCCTGAAATCACAGGCATTGCCAGCAAAGCGATGTGGCCTCCACAGAGCTTCAAACGGAAGAGGTCATCAAACTTTAATGCTCCCACTCATACTGGGTGTAGGCTTTGGCAGGAGCCTGCCCCCTGCTGGAGGAAAGCGCAACCAGTGGCTCTGTGGCTGCCCTCGCTGAGGGAGGCCTGGCTTCTTTGTCCGCCGGCAGTGTCATCATCAGGGCCCACTACTAAGTGAGCCCACCCGCCTTTCCCCGCTCAAGGCATTTTCCAAGACCTCCAGAGACAGCACCTAAGAGCATAGGGTGCCCACCACACCGGAAAATGCAAGGCCATTTGCATGTCTTCAATGACCCTTGTTTACCTGGAGGAATCAAATTAAACAGCTTCTTTCAAGACATAATGTCTTGCTGGGGTGCCTGGTCCACATTAGGTCTGCCAGGGGCTGCCCAGCTTTCCCAAGAGCCCCAGCTTCCTGGTTTCAAAACTGGGTCTAAAGAGCAGTGTAAGGGGCTCAGAGCCAGCGCCACATCCCAGCACCCAGAGCTCTCCAGGGAGAGGATCGCCCTCCCCAAGACACAGTCCCCATCTGTGCCGGGCAGAGTCTGTGGGTCAGCAGTCACCCGGGAGGCTCAGCCTCCACGGGAACACAGGGTAGAGGACAGCGAGGGAGGAGAGAAGAGCCAAGAAGGTTTAGAGAGAAGTTTTGGAGACCGTAATCTGGCGGGGAGGCCTCTTTTACAAAAATGAAAGTTGAGAAGGAACAGCGCAAACCCCAGCCTGTGTCTGCAGTCCCTGGGTCTCTGCTGCCTGCTTGCGGGCCAGCCCTGCTCAAACACATCTTCCCTCTGGGGTGTGGGGTCTCCTTGGCTCACAAGACATCTTGAAGGTTTCTCCCAGCTCTAACCACTGGTCCAGAATTTGGACTCGGCTTGTGGTAGTGCCCATTTCCTTGCTGTGTGATCTTGAATGTGTCTCTGAGCCTCTGTATCGTCACCTGTGAGCTAGTGTGAAGATTAACCCCGATGGTGGGGTGCGGTGGCACCTGCGATCCCAGCACGCAGGAGGCTGAGGAGCGGGCAGGACGCTTGGGTAGGGGTCCCTCACCTCCACACGTCCTCTGCTGTATTTGTGTATCCACTGCCTGGGAACCAGCCTACGTTTTTATGGACATGTTCACTTCCTAAGTGCAAACATAACCAGGAAGTCTATTTCCTGCCTTTAACCAAAAGCAAAATCGAAAACTACTATGGAACAGCCTGCTGTCAAGTCCTGCTGGACTCTTATCCCCATCAGGCTGGCCTCGCTCCATTTCAAAGGGCAGTTTGCAAATGTCAGAAAGCTGTTAAAGATGTACTCAACCCAGAGGAAGCTGGCCTCCGGGACCTAATAGCAGGGATAGGAAAGAACTGGAAAGAACCTCGGGCAATCATGGTGAGGTCAGAGCTGGAAGGCCAAGCTGGGGACCAGGTGAAATGCTGCTGTGATGTAGGGGACAGGTGGGGCTCACGTGGGCGCTGGGTGGGGTCCCCATGATGTCCCGAGGAAGGTTCCTGGGACACCAGATTCCCGGGATGAGGATACAATCACTGTCTCTCAGGGTTTCCTGCCCTTACCCCACAGTACCCCTTAGCCTTCACACGCGCTGAATAAGTGGGGCCCCCCTGGCGCCTCCCAAGTCCGCCTCGCAGAGCTCTCCCGTCACCATCTACAACCTTCTCTCCGGCCCCACCCTGGGATATTTCTGGCTCCAAGTGGAGAAGAAAGCCCTGAAACCCGAGCAGAAGCCATCTTCGGACACGCCTGGAGGTGAGCATTAATAGAAGCCTTCCTCAGCCTGAGCAGCTGCTCAGCCCCGTCCAGCACCAGCCCCAAGGCCAGCCCACTCTGGCTCACCCAGACACACTAAACTTAGCTTCCGCACCCACTCCACGGCCACTGCCACCACGCTAATCGAGCTGCCACTTCCCCTGCTCAGAGCCCTCACACCTCAGTGACCACCATGTCCCAGACCAAATCCCTGAAGATCCGCGTGACCCTCTTCTTCATCCTGGTGGGCATGGTGTTGGCCATGGTGGCCGTGGTGACGGACCACTGGGCCGTGCTGAGTCCCCACATGGAACAGCACAACACTACCTGCGAGGCGGCCCACTTCGGCCTCTGGAGGATCTGCACCGCGCGCATCGCAGTGGATGCCAGGAGGGACAGGAGCTGCAAGCACCTCACCCTGTCTGGGGGTAACGTACCCACTCCCCATCCCCGCCCCTGCCTCTTGTCCTTCGTTTTGCCCCAGGGAAACTGCTCTGGGGAGAGCAGGCAGGTGTCTCAGCCTCAGAACAGAGCAGCCACCCGGCCCACCCTCCAGGGGAAGAGGCTTGGAACCGGGTGCGCTGGCACTGGTCTGGACACTTCCCTTGTAGGCCCGAAGTGGTCAGTCCTTGGTGTCCCAGCTCCATTCTCTCCCTGAAGAGACAGGCGGGGTGACTTTGTGTCCTCAGGCTGGAGGGACCATGGAGGGTACACAGGGCTGCTATGGGCCTAATGGGGTCCCATGCAAAATTAAAACCGTGTTCCCTGTTCCCAGTTACTAAGAATATCGAGCCAGTGATGGCAGAGCTTGAGAGCAGGTACAGGGCCCGTCTGGGTCCAGGGCCTGGAGCAGTGGCACAGGCACATGTGTGTGAGGCAGGACATGGCTGTGACAAGCCGCCTGTCTTGTGGTAACAACCCAAAGTCCTTCTATACAGCCTTCCCTTAGCTCAGACTGCTTTTCTCAGAGTTCCTGGAGCTGCAGGTAATCCTTGATTTGCTACCACATGACCCAGCCAACTTACAGGTGAGCACCTTGCCAGAGACCCCTGTGTGAGTGTGACTGCTCTCCATCCTGAGATCACGGAGCATGTGGGATGCGTACTAAATGAAGCATGTCCTGGAGGAAAGAGGACCTGGCTCTCGACCCCATCACCCACAGCCCTCCTGACTGTCGGGGACAATCAGGTTGATCTCAGTCTCGGCTTCCTCCACTATAAAATATAGTAGGGCTTAGGCGTGGCAGTATAAGTGGCAGTGGGCCAGGGTATTCGTGACAGCCCTTCTGATGTTCGGAAGTATTTCTTTCTATCATCAGGCCATCTACTTCTTGAACTCCATCCTTCAAGAGCATCAGTGCTGAGGCCCCAAATCTCTTGCAGTCTGCATGTAGAGCAGAGCTCAGACCCCACTTACCACTCCTCTTTTTTTTTGTCTTTCTCTCTGCTGCTTGCTCCAGGGTACCCCAACCTCACCCACCCTTCCCATTCACTCCTGCTGGACACAGAGACTCATAAATACCCAGCTGTCTTGGAAACACCAAGTCCTGGGGTAGAGGGCTTTGACAGGCGTGGGCATGTGCTCGAAGGGTATCACATAGCCCAGATGCCCTCACCCCTTGGCTGCTGCTATAGACTTATAAACAGATGCATCATCCAACCAACACCCTGGGCAGAGCAGGGCAGGGCAGGACAAGACCGCTTCTCTGGGGACTATGCACAGGAATGGACTTTACGGTCCTGCACACCTGTCCTTGAAGCCTTCTGCCTTTTAAAGGCAGAGCAGATGAGGAGAGCAGTGGACAGAGACCATGCAAGAAAGAGTCAAGCAAGAGGACCGGGCTCAGGGGACCAGCAAGCACTGCTTGGCCTTGAGGCCCAGTGGTCAGTCTATGTCCTGGCCTTCTTTCCCTAGGCCAGCCATGAATCACAGTTCCCACACTTGTGACACTGAGCACTCCCTTCCAAAGCACGTTTCCTGTCTGGTTTCTTAGCAAATGGACATCTTTCCCCCACTCTCTCCACCATTCCTGTTTTCCCTGGGACCACTCTTCTCTGGAGGGGGTACAGGGTTGGTATATGTTCTCTCATTTAATAGTAATAATGGTTACAATAACGGCACACAATGTAGCGCTGTGTAGCAAACATTGCTGTGATGTATGTATATTAACTTTGAATAACATTAGAAAAAAATGACCGTGAGAACCCCCTCCAAAAATTTTTCTGCTTCATAAAACCAATGAGAAGGGTGGGGAAAAATGGCCAGATTTCACATTTTTCAAAACCTGGAAATAACCAAAATCTAGCCACCCAGCAAGTGCTTATTTAAAAAAGGGGTGACTCTCAGGAGAAACAAGTTTGATGATGTCTTCACTTGGCTGTATCCCCTCTCCCCCGTCCCTAGTTTCACCTTCTGTCTGAAAACCAACTTCCTGTGGGAAGTAAAAAGCAGCAACTTGTAGCCACCATGAGGACAGAAGGGAGCTGGATCTCTTTCAAAGCCCTGTTGGTGTCATTATCTGAACTATCTGATCATTCCCTGGAAGTCTCCACTTGCAAAGCTGTCTTTAATTGACTGTCTCTGAGCTTATCTGGTGCAAACTGTCTCCCAAGGGACATTTATTTAAAACAATTAGAGATAACTGTTTAACATCACAGCTGTCTGAGATAACAGCTCTTGCGCCAGAGAATGAGATATCCCTAAGTGGCTTTTGAAAGCTTCAACATACTTCTGGGAATCTGCAAGGCGGTGGATGTGCACAGGGATTAGGAGATGTATTGGTTCCCAACATTTTAGAAAATCTGTTAACTGACTACTAAGCTAGTGGGACAAAGATGTGAGTGGTCACACATGACAAAGGAATGCAAACTTTACAAAATGGGTTCAAAAGTGTCACTAAACACTAACAACAAGAACAAACCTCAGGAAGAAGTAGAATCTGATTTCTAGAGTTGCCACATCGTTTTGATTGTTAAAATTACAAGCTGTGCAAAGAACTAAAATGATGTGGCTCACATATAGAAGGGAAAGACAGTCAACAGGTCAAGGAAATCCAGATATTGAACTTATTAAATATTTTAAGTCAGCTATTTTAAGTATATTCAAGTACTAAAAGAAACCATATCCAAAGGACTAAAGAATGATATTTTGTGAAATAAATAACATCAGTAAAAGTATTGTGTGTGTGTGTGTGTGTGTGTGTGTGTGTGTGTGTATCTTTGAGACAGGGTCTTGTTATGTTCAGACCAGTCTTGCACTTTGTAACCCAGGTTGGTCTCAAACTCGCAACAATTCTCCTGCCTCAGCCTCCCCAGTGCTGGGATTACAAGTGTGCACCTTCATTCCTCGCAGCTGAAACTGTTTTCAAGGAATTTTGGGGGGAGAAATTCTGGAGTTGAATATTTCAACAGAGGAGCTCAGTAGCAGATACAAGCAAGCAAAAGAAAAAAGTCCAAGAACTTGAAGATAGGTCAACGGAGATTAGCCATCCTAGGGAACAGACAGAAGAAATAACAAAGAAAATGAACAGAGCTTCAGAGACGTAACGGGAGTCTCAGAAGGAGTAAGAAAGGAATGGAAAATATGTGTGAAAATGATGGCCCAGAGTCTCCCAAATTGTCTCAAAAGCCAGGCGAGTCCCCAGAGAGCCGTCTCTGTCTTTGCTCCTTTCAGGCTTGGCCTTTTTCAGCCTGCTCCGTGCCCCACTTCCCTAGTGGCCCATCTTCTCCTCCAGTCTCATGCAGGGCCCAGGCTGGAGGCCAAGGTCATAGCCTGACTCTGCCAGTGAGGAGCAGCGCCTCAGCCCCGGGCTCAGGTCTGGGGATTTGTCCTGCCAGTCTCAGTGGGGGCCGGAGGAAATAGAGCACGTAGAGACTGCTGCCATCAAGAACTAATACAGCATTTTACAAAAAGGCCAATGACAACATTGGTATCAATGCAAGTAAGAGCTTTCTTCCTACCCCAAAAGCACTATCTCCCTAGGGGCTTGCACAAATCAAAGTATTTTTTAACATATCCAGGCACTTGCCACCTAATACATTCTTGGCAATAACTCAGATCCATCTGCTGTTCACTCAAGATCACCAAGTGCCCACTGTTCTGTTCTTTGGCATCAGTGCTCCAGATATGATTCTGCATGCCCAGGAACTCTGGAACCAGGATATGTGGTTATCCAGACTGCTCTGTCCCCAGTCAAGCCCCAAAGCTGATCACCGTGCTTTTTAAGAAACAACCCACTTCACGTTTTAGACCCATGAGTCTTATGGAGATAGAAATATTAAAGCCACGATAAGCTATATTCGTAGGTACAAGGTTGACTGCAGGAACCCTGGAGATCCTAGCTATCACCCAGGTCATTCTTGCAGCTGGGATCTCTGCCTACTTTGGAGCTAGAGCCTGTCAAGGCAGAACTGCAGCCCAGAGTCCCGTGCAAGGGTGGTGGACTGGGGTGGGGTGGGGGAGGCAGGAGGCAGGAGACAGGACAAGAAGGCTTGGAATCTACAGAGCCAGCACAAGACCATCCCTGTCCCTCTCCACCAGCCGACTCGCCTGTGCCTAAGTGGCCTGCACAGGGCCTGCTTTGCATGGTTTCCTCTGTGACTTGCTTCATTGAGCAAGGGTGAGCAAAGCAAAGTCACCACAAGGTCTGCCCCTGTGACAGGACCCTGAGCCTTGTTTGAACGACACTGGCAACTGCCTGGTGTGATTTGTTCTGAGGTCCGTCTGGGTCCCTGTGCCCACTCCATCTTTAGGGACCATTAGGGACTTAGGGTCTTCCTTAGGCCGCCATGTAGCCTGGAGCAGATGTTCCTCCCAGGTTCAGGGCAGAGGACTTTGGCTTTCTTCATGTGCAGGAGAAAAAAGAGCTGGGTATAGTGCCGTACGCCTGTAATTCCAACACTCAGAAGGCTGAGGCAGGAGGATCCCAAATTCAAGGCTAGCCATGAGTTCAACTCTAGCCTGGACCACGTGGTGAGACTCTATCTCAAAAAACAGAAAAGGAGAGAGAGAGATGGAGAGAACAGCCTGCCATCCTCAGGCCTCCAGTCCAGCCACATCTGAGAGAAACTGAGGCTTCCAGAGCCCTGAGAAGAATCTAATCCACTGGGTACTGGTGTCCCTTCTTGGCCATTTCAGAGAATTTCACAGAGGGAAAGAGAGAGAGAAGCACTGTGCTTGGATCACCCAAGGAAAACTCCCCCAGCCACGCACTGCCTGGATGGACCTCACCGAAAGGGCCTGCCCTGGCGCGCCTGAGCTCTGGCTGCTTCTGTCCCAGCATCCGGCAACAGGCCACAGGCCGCAGTCACCAGTCCCTGGCCACCCAAATGGAGCCTGGTGTTTACTGGGAGGGCTGACCCCGAAGGCTCTCTCAGCAGGAGTCCTCTGGGCAGCCCACTAGGCCAAGCCTCCACAGCAGTGCCTGGCTGAGCTTTCCAGGCAGCTGACCGTGAAATACTCTTGAATTCCCTTGATTCTTTTCAGAGAGTTTTCAGTGACAACTCAAATTGACCCTTAAAGAATGGAACAGAAATGTTCCTTTGTCCAGAGGGAGACCCTGGGAGACTTAACACTCTGCTTGAGCTGTTCTGAAGCAGAGACTCAAGAGAATCAATCCATAGCGAATAATCTCAATAAATACAAGAGGTTCACATTATGGGTTAAAATAACAGTGGGGACTTCCAGACAGAAAAGCACAGGATTCATTCCGACATCTCCATTAGCCGTCAGGCACTCCAGGTAGCTTGGCTTGCAAGGAAAAGGATTTAAACATAGAGGCTCATAGCGGAGGCTCTTGACAGCCCAGTACACTCACAGCTGCTGCCCAGCCCCATCTCCAGCACTGTCTCCTTCCTGGAGCCTGGAGCGGGAAAGGGCAGGAAACACAGGATAAGCGGCAATCTAGTGATGTTGCCAGACCAAAATTTTCAAAGTCTCAAAGAAAGCCATGGTGTTGGCAGCCCCTGGGGTACATTTACAGAAGCTTCTCCTGATTGTCAAAGGTAGCCTGGAGGGAAAGTAATGAATTCCAAACTCACTGGCCCTTTAAACTAAAGGCAGAGGTGTTTTTCTAGGGAAGGTTGTGGGCCCACAAGAAAAAAAAAATCAACCAAGGGCCTCAAACAAATAAACAGCAGCTAATATAGTTTTTCTGTAAAGAAACATAAAATAATACAAACTAATCCATTCAGAAATTTCCTAAATCAGTAGTGAAGAATATTGAACTTAAGCTGCTTGATGTTATGGTATGTCTAGTTGTGAGACAGATTAAAGAAGAAAAGGCAAATGAATTATATTTAAATTAGTATGATTTGCTTTGTGCTGACCCCTCTCTTGTCTCCCCATCAAATCCAGATTTGGGGCCCCATTGTCCACAGACTCTTTATGGCTTTTATGACAGTGATCGAGTGGACCAGGCAGATCATGGAGAAGGGCATGTCAGGCTGCACACGGGTGCGAGTCCCCAGGGTCTGATGAAATGTTGTGACAGGTGGAATTCAGTCTTCACCCAGAAAGGGCTTTACCTGCATGCAGGTAAACCCAGTGGCCCCTCACACAAGCATCTGCAGGGCACTGTAAGAGGCCCACAGCAGGGCTTCTCACCCTGGTTGAGCATCAGAAAAGCTTTAATATAAAAACATTGCTTCCCAGAACTCCAGGGCAGGCCTGGAGTCTGACAAAAAACCCAGCCTTGGATTTGGGGTGGGCCCCACGCTTCTCAGCCTAGGCTCTATTGACATCTTGGGCTGGACGATTCTGTGTTGGTTGTAGAGGAGGCCATCCTGGGCATTTGTAGGGTATTTAGTAGTGCCCCTGGCTTCTACCTAGTAGACGAGCGGAAAACCCCACTCTGTACCAAAATGTCTCCAGACATTGCCCAGTGTCCCCTGGGGAGAGGCACTGGCCTGGCTACTCAGTTCTTTGCTGGCCGTGCACGCTGCACTTCTGACAGTTGACGTGAGCCTTTCTGCCTTTGTCACATGCCCTGTCAACTCCTGCAGTCTTTGCTCCCCGAGGACCTCCCAGCTTCTTATGCAACCCCATTATCCGGCTGAAATGTTCCAAGGGTTAGAGAAGTGTTTTGGCCCAGATTCAGGAATTGGGGGAAGACAGCTGGCCAGCAGTCTCCTCCATGGCCAGCAGGATGGTGCCATGTTCTTTCCGTGCCGCTGTCCTGGCTCCTGGTCTTTTCCCAACTCACAGTCTATCTCCTTCCTTTGCAGAGAAGAACTGTTCCTACTTCAGACATTTCAACCCAGGCGAGAGCTCGGAGATCTTTGAATTCACCACTCAGAAGGGTGAGCCTGCAGGAGACAAGGGAGCGGGTGGTGCACGGCGACTCTGTCGCACGCTGGAGTCCGGGAGTCACTGGCTTTCCTGCTCCCGATGAAAAGCATCCCTGGCCTGGTGCAGTGGAGCAGCCACCTCCCCATTCGGTCACAAATGGCAGCATCCCTCTCCAGGTGCCCAGAGCATATTCAACACGGCTGGTAAAGGAGTTATTTCTGGGTAGCTCTAAGTTTCGGCAAGAACATGTTTCTCTACACAGCCCAGGAGAGGCCGCTGTGTCAGGAGCTAAGAAAATGGAGCAAGTGATTGCAGTCCTGGAGAAGGTTCGGGGTTGGAACTGGGTCCCTACATGCCCTGGAACAGTCAAGTCCCTCGGTTTTTATAAATCACACCCTGGGAGCTAGGAGGAACCGTTGGGCTCCTTTGTATCATGGCGCTCGGAGGCACAGGCACCACGTGTCCATACCAGGCCTACACACTTGTGGACGGCTGCACATGGTGTGTGTGTGTATGCCTACACGAGCAGGTATATGTGTGCACACTCGCATATTAGCAGAGCCTCACATATGGGACACCCACACCCACAAAGACACCACTGAAATAGCCTCAGACATGGGGGGCACACACAAACACACACACCAGCAGATCTCACATGCAGCACTAGGTGACACCCCCACGCACCCTCATATACATGCTGGGTAACACCTGAACTCCGTCCTCCCTCCAGAAGCCCCTTGGCATTCTGGGTCACACTGCCCAAAGCTCAGCACCTTCTTCTGCCTGTCACTCGGAAGATTTCTGCTCTAGAAAAGTCTCTGGCCGCAAGCCTCCCCACCTCCTTCCACAGCCTCTGCCCCAAGGGAAGGGAGTGGGTGGGATGAGTCCTGTTCACTCTGCCCTCAGCCCTTCCCCGAGTGTGATTTCGAGTGTGTAAGTCTCTCGGTCAGGTGTGAAATGGGAATTGTCACTAGCCAGCAAGTGGGGAGGAGGCCCAGGCCTGAGGAGCCCCCTGTCTTGCAGAATACAGCATCTCAGCGGCAGCCATAGCCATCTTCTGCCTGGGCTTCATCATCGTGGGCACCATCTGTGCGCTCCTGTCCTTCGGAAAGAAGCGGGATTACCTGCTGCGGCCGGCATCCATGTTCTATGCCTTCGCAGGTAGGTGATGTCCCGGGGTCCCACTCCACACTCATGTCTGCCTCCCGGCTGAAGCAGAAACAAGCTTGGCTGGGTCCTCTGTGACCCCAGGCACAAACAAAGATACTGCTATTTTGTCCATTTTGCACATCTGGCACTGTCCTCAAGGCACTGAGAGAACTTCCCAGCGAGCAGTTACCAAAGGACAGGAGATGTGGTCCATCTCCTGCCAGCCCCCTCAGGAGCGTGGGAATTGCATGGGGCTGGCAGGCAAGTGGGTCTGCAGATTCCCCATCAGAACCATCCAGAGGAAGTCACCACTCCCTCGGCCCCCAACCAGGGCAAAGTCATTACCTTCCCCACCGCACAGGAGGCACAGCCCGGGGAGTCTGCGGGTGGTGGTGGCAGCACCCTCAGCTCCTGAGTGCCTCTGGTCTGTCCCCAGGGCTCTGCATCTTGGTCTCCGTGGAGGTCATGAGGCAGTCGGTGATGCGCATGATTGCCAGTACGGACACCGTCTGGATCGAGTACTTCTACTCCTGGTCCTTTGCCTGCGCCTGCGCAGCCTTCATCCTGCTCTTCCTCGGGGGCGTTGCCCTCCTGCTCTTCTCTCTGCCTCGAATGCCCCAGAACCCCTGGGAGTCCTGCATGGATGCTGAGCCTGAGCACTAGGCCGCGGGAAGCTTAGCCCCAGCCCAGAACCGTCTGGAGAGAGGCAGGAGTTTTACCACTGCCCCTTCCCTTCTGCTCCACCCCCCACAACAGCTGTGGGCTGCTGTCCCTCTCCGAGCAACTCTCTGGGCTGCACCAAGCTCCTGTAACAGAGCAAGTGGACATGAGCCAGACCTGCCCGAGTTCGGCAGGAGGAAGGCCAGCAGGTGCACAGGCATTTGAAGGGGTCCCACCTTCTACAGAGCTTAAGGTTGTCCCGCTGTGCCAAACTGGCTCCTGTGATCTTCAAAAACCCTACAGGGACAACCTGTGCTCATTTACCAGTTCCGGGAATCACCTGTATAGAGAGCCAATGCCTCTTGCCTCAGTGACAAGATACACACCCTTTTCAGCGAACTGAATATCTCTCCTTGGTGTCCAGGAGCCAAGAAACATTTTTTAACTGGGTAGAATGTGACTGTGGTTTGAAATAAAAGCTCCTGGAAAACTCTTTTCATCTTGTGCCTTGAATAGCAATTTCTTGGATTCGGGCCATTCCCAGAGGCCCCAAGAAAAAAGGAAAATATGTCCCCCGGGACAGTGAGAATGGCCAGGGGGCTGGGGAGGTAGACAGGAGAAGAGAACCAACATGGCTTACGGTTTTGAATTCCAGTTTGTATCTCTGGGCCCTAGGATGGTGTGGGATGAAACTGGAAACCTCTGAGTGGCAAGGGTGTTAAAAATAGGAGGGGTTATTTCTAGAGCCAGGCATATGAAGAATCCAGCGCCAGCAAAGTACTCGAACAGCCCAGCCGCGGGACTCTGGTTTCTGATGCTGGGTTTTTGCTGCAAAGAACCTCAGCAAGACAGATGTAGCAAGGCCAAGACAAGTGGGCCACATAGAGACATCATTTGGGCCCCCCTGGCTTCCCAAACTCCACCGTCGCTACCTGCCTGAAATCAGACTCAGCCAGCAGACAGGGCTCTCGTGTTCCTTGCCATCAACACTGTAGTCCTATTTGGAACTTGTTCTGCCAGAGCTGGGGTTGGCAAACCTCAGCCCAACTGCTTCTTGTGTGACGTGCAAGCTAACGGTAGTTTTTCACATCTGTCATGGTTTTGAAAAAAATCAAAAGAATATACTACAAATATCAAAATTGTTTTGTGGCACATGAACATTATATGAAATTCAAGTTTTGGTGTTCATAAATAACACTTACTGGCACACAACCAGGCCTATTCCGACAGGTGCATCAGGCAGCTGCTTCTCCACAGCAGCATCTCCAAGCAGGCAGCTTAAGTGCTTGGCCCAGCAAAGCCCAAACCTGCTGTCTAGCTCTTTGTGAAAAATGGTTGCTGATGCTCTCCCAAAGAACTGTACATTCCACAATCAGTGTATCTGTACCCCGCTGCTCCCATCTGTAAAATATACAGAGAAGTTGCTGGGCATGGTAGCCCACACCTGTAATCTCATACTGGGGGAGACTGAGGCAAGAGAATAACAAGTTTGAGCCCAGCCTGGGCAACTTAATGACTTATTGAGACCCTGTCTCAAAATAAAAAATAAAAAAGGGGCCGGGCATGTAGCTCAGTTCAAAGGTCCTCCCTTGGGGTAATTCCTCAATTAAAAAAAATATACATTTGCTCATTCTTGCATGTAACTCAGTACCAGCCAATTTAGAAGGAAGGGAGTGATCCTGGAAGAAGGGGGTGAGCTTTAGTGTTCATGGAGGAGCTGGACTGGGTTTGGAGGAAACGTGGGGGGGGGGGCGGTAGACAGAAACAACCCTTCCCACTTTCAGGTGAGGGACTGAACAGAAAGTGTGGCTTATGGTTCGGAAATCCAAAAAGGTCAAAGGGAGGGAAGGGACAAAATGCTAGGCTTCTAAACCAAAGAAGCAAAGGGTGGGTAGAGAGCTGGCAGAGGCTGTGGCAGCTATCTACGGCCTCACGGCCAACGTCAGGAGACAGCCCCAGACATGCAAAGACAGAGCCTGGGTGCAGACCAGGAGCTCCAGGAGGAGAACAGGGACGCACAAGTACTGAGCAGCCAGGCCATGGGGGCCACAGTTTCTGAGTAAGAAGGAAGATGGATGGCTTCCTCCCCGAGCCTTTGAAAGGTCAGTGTTGTCTTCCTGTTACTTTTACTGTTAACAGAATCAGATTGGTGTGCCTTCTATGTCCACATGGCTTCCTGTTTCTGGGTTGACTCACTAATTGATTGCTTGATTGATTTGGTACTGGGATTTGAGTCCAGACCCTTCGCTCTAAATTGCCCAGGTTGAACTTGAATTTGCAATCCTCTGCCTCAGCTTCCCGGAGTGTTGGGAGGGTAGGGAGGGGCCACCACACTCAGCTTCTCCATGACTTCTGAGGAATAGGTATGGAACGGAGTCCATTTGGCTTCTTAGAGTTTTCACTTCACTGAGAGAGGCTTCAGTGCACCAGAACCAGAACACAGGCAAAAAGGAGGGAGGGTAACTGCCAGGCTGCCACACGTTCTGTAGAGAAAAAGTGCAAAGCCAACCAGCAAACAAACCAGCCAATGCAAGTTGGGAAATCGCTCATCTGCACTCCAACCTACCTGCTGCTGCTTGCCAGGAAGGACGTCTGGAATGGGCAGGTGGTCAGTCTCGCTCCAGTTGGGTCTGACAAAGGACTGCAAAACCATGGTGAAACGTGATCTAAAGCCCGTGCTTAGCTCGGAAGCCCACCACTTCTAACCTCTTGCTCCGGCATGAGTGAATTTAGCAATCACTGAACTCAACAGTCCATAACACTTTCTCAGCATTTCCTAAGCATTGTCACACAGGAGTTAGCAGAGCCTGAGAAGCAGCTCAGTCATGAAGTAAGTAACACTTCAGCGTGCTATTTGCTTTAACTGGTAAAATGCACGTAACATAGAATGACCATCACGACCACTTTTCAATGCACAATTCAATAGTGATAAGGACTCTCACTGTGCACCAATCACCACCATCCATCTCCAGAACACTTTTCATCCCTCTCAAACTGAAATCCTCTACCCATGAAGAAAGAGCTCACCACTCCACTTTCCCCACTCCTGGCTCCCATGCTCCAGATCTTGCCCCTATGAGTCTGTACTCTAGGGATCTCACAGAGCTGGACCCATATGGTACCTGTCCTTTGGTACCTAGTATATAATGCTCAGCATGATGTCTCCAAAATTCATTGTGTAGAATGTGTCAGAATTTCCTTCCCTTGAAGGGAGAATAATACACCACACCTGGTTTACACTAGTCCCTCCAGGGCTGGGCACTGGTTATCTCCAGCTAGGGGCCTTTGGAATAATGTTGCAATGAACAGGAATATTCAGACATCCGTTTGAATCTCTGTTTTCAATTCTTTTTATATAATAAGTGGGGTTTTAAAATGAAAATTTACCAAAATAATCACAATGAATACAATATCAGAATTTTAAAGGGAGATTTTTATTGAGTTTTTTTTTTTTTCTTCCTTGTGTCATACTCCTATGGCTCGGTATGGCACTAGAGGTTTAATTGTTCCCAGTATATGGAGAAGACTGAGGATCAGAGAAGTGTTGCCTACTGTCACCCGGTTCACTGGCACCAAGCAAGAATTAGAGCCAAGGCTGCTACTCACTTCCTGTCTGACCAGGATTCCTCGCCAATCTTAAGTCAATAATAGGAAGGACCGAAAGTTGTCCCTCTGTCCTCGGCTAGCACACTGTAGGAGCTACCCAAGTGGCTTGGCTCTGAACTCTTCCTGGAAATGGAAATTTCAAGGATCTCTGTGTACCTTTGATCTTTTTCCCCCCACTTCTCCAAGAAAGAAGGGACACCATGTTCATCACATTCTAATGCAGTATTTCTCCTGCCACTGTCACTGGTCCAATTTTGACCAAATATTTTATTTACAAATTCATTTCTAATTTATACCCTACTCGCTTTCAGAAAAGATCAGAAGCAGAGACAGCATGAAGGAACCCACGGCGCGGAACAGATCTATCAAGGCGATGACAGAAGCCTGGTTAGGATGCAACTGCCCTGGCCTCCCCCACCCTCATTTCCCAGACTCGCTCAGCTGCAGCGACGGAGGCCATAAATTAATCCCCACCCAGGGCACCGATCCTGCACAGCCAGGAAAGTTAATTAAGGTAATTGCCGCTACAAGGAGAGAGACATTCTGTTCTTTTGACTTTGTCCCTGATGAGATTTTTGTGGGTTTTTTGCCTGATATTAAAGAGCTGACTTCTTGGACATCTTTATCATTCTTGGTTTAGATTTGTCCGCTCTGAGCCAGCAAACTGGTCCTGGTCACCCTGCAGAAAAGGGAATTTGTAAAACCACAGCCTGAGGGTTTTTCGCTTAGAGCTGGACAAGCTCAAAATCCCTTTCCCATGAGGTTAACATCAACAGCAGCCTTCCCAGCCCTAGCTTCCCGGCCAGAAGCAAATGGCTCTGCATTGTAGACCAAGGGTCTCAGGGCACCAGGGGCCATGAATCAAAGCAGAGATGAAGCCCAGGGAAGCTGATCAAGTATCTGAGAGAGAAAGAGAGGTGACAACCAGTAACCCTCTCCACCTAATAAGGAGGGAAACAAAAGAGCCCCAGGAGGCAGTGACCAGGTGAGGACACTGAGCAAGTAGGCAGCCCACAGCTCCCTAGGGGACATGGGGGGGGGTGTAAGCCAGGACCTGGAAATGCTCCCCCCACCAGGAGGTGGATCTCTTGGAGAGCTGCGTGGCTGACCAGAAACGGTCCTGCAGTTGTGCAGAGGTGAAGTTCCCTCTGCCAGGGCATTTAGTGATTCCCGCTGGAGAAGCACAATCCTTCTGATCGCTTCAAATGGTAAACATCTTAACCAGGGGTTGTGCCTGTGGAAGGCAGAGAAGCCCCATTGGACCTTCAACCTGGGACCCGCCTTGCCTCAGACAGCAAACAGCCCGGAACCCTCACAGCACAGGGCCTGATTTCCCTTCTGGGTCTGCTGCCCACCAGGCTGAAAGCTCCTAGGAACAGGGCCCGGTGATGCATCCACATAGGAGGTGCCTGACAGAAGGAAAAAGGAAGCAGGGAGGAAGAAGAGGCAGAATACATTGTAATGTAAGTCTGAATAGAACAGAGTCAGTGCCACCAGTTGGCCGTGTTCCATTGAAATCAGTGAGGGTGCTGAACTGCAGGGTTTGCCTTTCTGTGTGCATTGGTGGTGGGGGTACAGGAGGGGTATGGTGACTCTTGGGCCTCTGTACTAAGCTACGTCCCCAGCTTGTTTTGAGACAGGGTCTTGCTAAATTGCCAAGGTCTGAATTTGCCACCTCCTGCCTCAGCCTCCCAAAGGGCTGGGATTACAGGTACGCACAATGACACCTGGCTTTGCAGAGTTTTCTAGGCCAGTGGCCATCCCTAAATCACTTTCATCTTTGGGCTCATACCATGTCCCTGGACCATGGGTTGAGGCAAAAGGCCTTTTAAATAAGGCCAGCAAAGTTCTCTGGGCCTTTGTTTTCTCGTCTATAAAAGTGAAACCAA